GCACATGATCATGTGGCACAGACCATTTTAGTATTATTGATACCTTTATTTGTAGATTTTTTTATATAACTTATTCATTAGCATTGCCATGTGACACTGCTATTTCCTCATTCTCCAGCCTTTGAATTATCTCAAGCTTGCAGTCTTAACCCGTAAACGGTCCAAGCAGATCTACGTTCACATGTGTAGTGCTACTAAAGTAGATGTAGGTTTTTTTACATATTTTCAAATATAACAAAAAAAAAAAAGTAGATCAAAGTTTTTTTTACACATTTTCAAATGTAAAAAAACAAAAAGAAAATCTACTTTTTGTACATACTTTCAAATGTTGAAAGTATGTTTGGACCGTTTACAGGTTAACCCTTAAACGGTCCAAACGTATATATACGTTCACGCGCGTAGCGCCCAAAACGTATATATACATTTTCTTTGTCATTCATTCAACATTACCACAATAAGCCTGAGTCACCTAGACATGAGAGAATGGGTGTGCGCATTCACTGTGTGCCATATTAAAATAATTGGGGATGCCTGGGTACCATATGCTCTTCTTTCCTTTTAAAAAAAGTTTTTTTTCTCTCAAAAAATTTGGGGCGCTACGCGAGTGAACGTATATATATGTTTGGACCGTTTAAGGATTAATAAATGAATTTGTTTTTTGTGGTCCTACTCATACTTGAAGGACTTGAACCATCTTTCAGATGTGCCATGATGCAAGAGATAATCCAGATAGTACAACAACACTTGTATATTGAGAAAAGAATTGTAGAAGATAAAGCTCTGTATGTGGACCTACAAATATTAATTTTTTATGTTTGTCATCCCTGTATTGCCATAATGTTCTTTACTACCCACACAGCCTCACACTACCCAAAATGACCCATATTACCTCTAACTCCTTGCAGCTAGTGCCATAACATCAGCTCCACATTAGCAAAATAAAATGCTTGGTGACTGAGTTTCACATTGTATAGATGGAGTGAATCCTCTTAATGAGCCTTTAGATTGTGAGGGAGGGGTGCATAGTATGTTTTATTTCTTTATCACTGCAATTTTATATGATTGTCCTATTAACATTTATTATTTTTTTTTATTAACACATTGGCCGTTTCTCACCAAGGTAGGGTGGCCCGAAAAAGAAAAATGTTCATCATCATTCACTCCATCACTGTCTTGCCAGAGGCATGCCTACACTATGGTTATAAAACTGCAACATTAACACCCCTCCTTCAGAGTGCTGGAACTGTGCTTCCCATCTCCAGGAATCAAGTCCGGCCTGCTAGTTTCCCTGAATCCCTTTGTTCCTATCTAACACGCTCACGCACACTTGCTGGAAGTCCAAGCCCCTTGCACACAAAAACCCTCTTTCCCCCTCTCTCCCTCCAACCTTTCCTAGGCCAACCCTTAACCCCACCGTCCCTCCACTACAGATTTATATACTCTCGAAGTCATTCTGTTTCGTTCCAGCCTCTCTACATGTCCAAACCATCTCAATAACCCCTCCTCAGCTCTCTGGATTATAGTTTTGGTAATCCTGCACCTCCTCCTAATCTCCAAACTACAGATTCTCTGCATTATATTCACACCACACATTGCCCTCAGACATGACATCTCCACTGGCTCCAGTCTTCTCCTTGTTGCAACATTCACCACCCATGCCTCACACCCATACAAGAGTGTTGGTATAACTACTCTCATACATTCCCCTCTTTGCTTTCATGGATAAAGTTCTCTGTCTCCACAGACTCCTCAGTGCACCTCTCACCTTTTTCCCCTCATCAATTCTATGATTCACCTCATCTTTCATGGAGCCATCTGCTGACACGTCCACTCCCAGATATCTGAATACATTCACCTCCTCCATACTCTCTCCCTCCAATCTGATATCCAGTCTTCTGTTACCTAAATTTTTGGTTATCCTCATCACCTTACTTTTTCCTACATTCACTTTTAATTTCCTTGTTTTACATACCCTACCAGACTCATCAACCAACCTCTGCAACTTCTCTTCAGAATCTCCCAAAAGCACAGTGTCATCAATAAAGAGCAACTGTGACTACTCCCACTTTGTGTTAGATTCTTTAGCTTTTAACCCCACACCTCTTGCCAACACCCGAGCATTCGCTTCTCTTACTATTCCATCTATAAATATATTGAAAACCATGGTGACATCACACATCCCTGTCTAAGGCATACTTTTACTGGGAAATAATCTCCCTCTCACCTGCATACTCTAACATGAGTCTCACTATGCTTTCAATAACCTACCTCCTATTCCATACATTTGCAACCTCTGCCACATTTCCCCCCTATCATATGCCTTTAACAAATCCATAAATGCCACAAACACCTCTTTACCCTTATCTAAATACTGTTCACCTATATGTTTCACTGCAAACACTTGTCTACACACCCCCTACCTTTCCTAAGCTTCCTTGCTCATCTTCTATCCTGCTCTCCATCTTACTCTTAATTCTTTCAGTAATAACTCTATCATACACTTACCAGGTATACTCAACGGACTTTTTTCTTTCTTTCAAAGTACCAGCCATATCCCACTGAGGTGGGGTGGCCCAAAAGGAAAAACAAAAGTTTTGCCTTTTAAATTTAGTAATATATACTACAGGAGAAGGGGTTACTAGCCCCTTGCTCCCGGCATTTTAGTCGCCTCTTACGACACGCATGGCTTACGGAGGAAGAATTCTGCTCCACTTCCCCATGGAGATAAGAGGAAATAGACAAGAACAAGAACTAGAAAGAAAATAGAAGAAAACCGAGGGGTATGTTTATACGTATATGCTTGTACATGTATGTGTAGTGTGACCTAAGTGTAAGTAGAAGTAGCAAGACATACCTGAAATCTTGCATGTTTATGAAACAGAAAAAAGGACACCAGCAATCCTACCATCATGTAAAACAATTACAGGCTTTTGTTTTACACTCACTTGGCAGGGCGGTAGTACCTCCCTGGGTGGTTGCTGTCTACCAACCTACTACACTACACACAACGGACCTCTTTCTTTCTTTCTTTCAACGCACTGGCAGTATCCTACCGAGGTGGGGTGGCCCAAAAGGAAAAACGAAAGTTTCTCCTTTTACATTTAGTAATATATACAGGAGAAGGGGTTACTAGCTCCTTGCTCCTGGCATTTTAGCCGCCTCTTAAAACACTCGTGGCTTACGGAGGAAGAATTCTGTTCCACTTCCCCATGGAGGTAAGAGGAAATAAACAAGAACAAGAACTATTAAGAAAATATTAGAAAACCAGAGGGGTGTGTATGTATATGCTTGTACATGTATGTGTAGTGTGACCCAAGTGTAAGTAGAAGTAGCAAGACGTACCTGAAATCTTGCATGTTTATGAGACAGCAAAATGGACACCAGCAATCCTACCATCATGTAAAACAATTACAGGCTTTCGTTTTACACTCAATTGGCAGGACGTTAGTACCTCCCTGGGTGGTTGCTGTCTACCAACCTACTACCTATAACTCAACGGACTTATTCCCTTATAATTTTTACACTCTCTTTTGTTTCCTTTGCCTTTATACAAGGGAACTATGCATGCTCTCTGCCAGTCTCTAGGTACCTTACCCTCTTCCATACATTTATTAAATAAAAGCACTAGCCATTCAAAAACTATATCCCCACATTTACATTTTGTGCAATTTTTTCTTAACCCTTTGACTGTTTCGGTCGTATATATACATCATACGAGGTACCGTGTTTGACGTATATATAGTACTCATAAATTCTAGCGGCTTCAAATCAAGCAGGAGAAAGCTGGTAGGCCCACATGTGAGAGAATGGGTCTGTGTGGTCAGTGTGCACCATATAAAAAAAATTCTGGAGCATGCAGTGCATAATGAGAAAAAAAAACTCCGACTGTTTTTTTAATTAAAATGCTGACTTTGTGGTTTGTTTTCGTATAGTATTTATGGCTGTATTCTCATTTTCTTGGTCTCATTTGATAGAATGGAAAACATATTATAGAAATAGAGGTGATTTTGATTGGTTTTACTACAAAAAGAGCCTTGAAATGGAGCTCAAAGTAGGGGAAATGTTTGATTTTTGCCAATGTTCAAAAGTAAACAAATGATGTCATTGTCCAATAAATGTCCAACTAGCCATTCTAATATGCAGTCATGAATGGGTTGACATTATTTGTACAATTATTACAGTATTGCAGTAGTCTGCATAACAGTAAATCTTCTATTTTTTGTTTGAATAAAAATTCAAAATAGAAAGCAAGAGTAATATCAGAGGGGCCTGAAAATGTGACTGATGAACAAAGAAAATGTTATTTTAGAGCCAGGAATGTCTGCATTGTTCATTCTGGACCTTATTTTGAAATTGTCATATTTTTTATTTTTCGTGAAATTGGCCAAATTGCAAATTTCTGACCACGGTATTGGGTGGTTGAAATCGATAGAAAAAATGGAGTTCTAAAGAAATAGCTATGAGTTTGGTCAACTGGAACAACAGAATTAGCCAAAAATAGGGCTCACAGTGAACAAAATCGCCAATTTTTAAATATTGCCGAGGTCGCTAACTGCGCGAGAGTGTAATTCCGTCAGTTTTCCATCAAATATCATTTTTTTTTGTGTCATTGCAATTGGGAAAAGATTCTCTTATCATTTCATAAGAAAAAATAATTTTTTTTTTTAATTTTTGCGACACCAGGAGGGTTGCGACAGTCAAGGGGTTAAATACTCCATGGGGAAGTGGAACATAATTCTTCCTCCATAAGCCATGTCTTGTAAGAAGCAACTAAAATGCTGGGAGCAAGGGGCTAGTAACCCCTTCTGTATACATTACTTAAGTTGTGAAGAGAAACTTTTGTTTTTCATTTTGGGCCACCCTGCCTCAGTGGGATACGGCTGGTTTGTTGAAAGAAGATTTCCTAAGTGTGAAATGTAGTAAACATAGTAAATGTACATACATGGTTTGAAATAAGCAAGCTATAACATTAGTTTGTTTCTTAAATTTTTCTTTGTCAGGTGCTGGGGTGAGAGTAGCTGTATTTGATACTGGACTCTCCAAATCTCACCCTCACTTCAAGCGCATAAAGGAACGTACTAATTGGACCAATGAAAAAACTTTAGATGATGGGCTGGGTCATGGTACATTTGTGGCTGGGGTGATAGCATCGAGTGGAAAAACGTGTCTTGGGTTTGCTCCTGATGCGGAGTTGCACGTATATCGTGTATTTACTAATAATCAGGTGAGGCAGGATATGAGCTATGCTAATATTTTGTGTACATTTTAGGGCCTTGATTCTTTTATAACCATTTCTTCATATAGTATATTGTGTAAATGAGACTAGGGGTCTATCAAAAGATAGGAACCATGTTAATTATATAATTCTGGTTATAGCAATTGTTTGTGTGGACATTTTGTATATTCATTATGAGTTCACTGGCTTCTTTTGTCACTATAACACACCAGTTTTATGAAGCTGTTCAAATGTATTTTCTTTTACATGTGTTTATACTGCTTTGGTGTAAAATGCCTTACAATTTTGATAAAGTTGGAATGTGTCATTTTTAATTCAGTATATTACTTCTAAAACGAAATTAGAAGATATGCAATGTACATATACGTACTGTATATCTTTTAGGTTTCATACACATCTTGGTTCCTGGATGCTTTCAACTATGCTATCCTAAAGAAGGTAGATGTGCTGAATCTAAGCATTGGAGGGCCAGATTTTATGGATCATCCCTTTGTTGATAAAGTATGGGAGTTGACTGCCAATCGAGTCATTATGGTTTCAGCTATTGGGAATGATGGACCATTGTATGGGTAGGTAAATTGCATCAGTCAGCATTGCAATTGTTTAAAATTATGATGTTTAAGCCAGTAAATCAAAGATTTACACGGCTTCAATATTTCATGATCATATTGTTTTTTATGATGATTCCTAAATGTGAAATTTTGCATTGTTTTACTGATTTCATGTACAGTATGTCAATTTATTTAGCGATTACGAGGTATTCTTTACCTTAATTTTGATTACTGTAGTTGCCACAATTCTTGACTGATATTTTCTGAGTTTCATGGAGTATGTGGAATTTGTTACAGGACCCTTAACAATCCAGCAGATCAGATGGATGTGATTGGGGTTGGGGGAATCAATTTTGAGGATCAAATAGCACGCTTTTCATCCCGTGGCATGACAACTTGGGAGCTGCCCCAGGGGTAAGTATAAGCTAATTCTCTTCTATATAGCTCAACTTTGCAGTAGTTACTGGGGAACTGGTTGGTTTCTTATTAAATTTAATGCATTATAAGTTCATTATTAAATTTTCTCCAATTCAAACAAGTTGTTACAGTATTGTATGGATGAAATCTTGGGGGTATTCATATGAAATGCATGTACAGTATATACAGATAATAAACAAAATTTGAATTATTTTAGTGTGTTGCATTTAGGTAAATCTTCGACTCACTTGAGCTACACATTCAAATGTAACTAAAAGTAACAATCAGTTCTATATTTTTTCCATTTTCATAATGTGCCAAATACTATTAGATTTCTATCTCATTCTCTTTTTATTTTTTTTTTTATTATCACACTGGCCGATTCCCACCAAGGCAGGGTGGCCCGAAAAAGAAAAACTTTCACCATCATTCACTCCATCACTGTCTTGCCAGAAGGGTGCTTTACACTACAGTTTTTAAACTGCAACATTAGCACCCCTCAACATTAACATCCCTTCTCTTTTTAAACTACAAATATTTGTTGATAAACAAGGTAAAGAGTTTTTATGAGGATAGTGACGCTCGGGTTAGGGTGTGTTGAAGAGAGGGAGACTACTTCCCGGTAAAAGTAGGTCTTAGACAGGGATGTGTAATGTCACCATGGTTGTTTAATATATATATATATTTAGATATATAGAATTGACACAGTTACTTTTGCTGATGATACTGTGCTTATGGGAGATTCTAAAGAAAAATTGCAAAGGTTAGTGGATGAGTTTGGGAATGTGTGTAAAGGTAGAAAGTTGAAAGTGAACATAGAAAAGAGTAAGGTGATGAGGGTATCAAATGATTTAGATAAAGAAAAATTGGATATCAAATTGGGGAGGAGGAGTATGGAAGAAGTGAATGTTTTCAGATACTTGGGAGTTGACGTGTCGGCGGATGGATTTATGAAGGATGAGGTTAATCATAGAATTGATGAGGGAAAAAAGGTGAGTGGTGCGTTGAGGTATATGTGGAGTCAAAAAACGTTATCTATGGAGGCAAAGAAGGGAATGTATGAAAGTATAGTAGTACCAACACTCTTATATGGGTGTGAAGCTTGGGTGGTAAATGCAGCAGCGAGGAGACGGTTGGAGGCAGTGGAGATGTCCTGTCTAAGGGCAATGTGTGGTGTAAATATTATGCAGAAAATTCGGAGTGTGGAAATTAGGAGAAGGTGTGGAGTTAATAAAAGTATTAGTCAGAAGGTAGAAGAGGGGTTGTTGAGGTGGTTTGGTCATTTAGAGAGAATGGATCAAAGTAGAATGACATGGAAAGCATATAAATCTATAGGGGAAGGAAGGCGGGGTAGGGGTCGTCCTCGAAAGGGTTGGAGAGAGGGGGTAAAGGAGGTTTTGTGGGCGAGGGGCTTGGACTTCGAGCAAGCGTGCGTGAGTGTGTTAGATAGGAGTGAATGGAGACGAATGGTACTTGGGACCTGATGATCTGTTGGAGTGTGAGCAGGGTAATATTTAGTGAAGGGATTTTGGCAGTTTGGAGGGATATGTTGTGTATCTTTATATGTGTATGCTTCTAGACTGTTGTATTCTGAGCACCTCTGCAAAAACAGCGATAATGTGCGAGTGTGGTGAAAGTGTTGAATGATGATGAAAGTATTTTCTTTTTGGGGATTTTCTTTCTTTTTTGGGTCACCCTGCCTTGGTGGGAGACGGCCGACTTGTTGAAAAAAAAAAATAAAAAAAAATTCAGGGAAACCGGTTATTTTCATATAGTCGGACTTGAGTCCTGGAAATGGGAAGTACAATGCCTGCACTTTAAAGGAGGGGTTTGGGATATTGGTAGTTTGGAGGGATATGTTGTGTATCTTTATATGTGTATGCTTCTAGACTGTTGTATTCTGAGCACCTCTGTAAAAACAGTGATAATGTGCGAGTGTGGTGAAAATGTTGAATGATGATGAAAGTATTTTCTTTTTGGGGATTTTCTTTCTTTTTTGGGTCACCCTGCCTCGGTGGGAGACGGCCGACTTGTTGAAAAAAAAAAAAATATGTAGATGGGGTTGTAAAAGAAGTAAATGCTAGGGTGTTAGAGAGAGGGGTGGGATTAAATTATGGGGAATCAAATACAAAATGGGAATTGACACAGTTATGTTTTGCTGATGATACTGTGCTTATGGGAGTTTCTAAAGAAAAATTGCAAAAGTTAGTGGATGAGTTTGGGAGTGTGTGTAAAGGTAGAAAGTTGAAAGTGGACATAGAAAAGAGTAAGGTGATGAGTGTATCAAATGATTTAGATATAGAAAAATTGGATGTCATATTGGAGAGGAGGAATATGGAAGAAGTGAATGTTTTCAGACATTTGGGAGTTGACGTGTCAGCGGATGGATTTATGAAGGATGAGGTTAATCATAGAATTGACGAAGGAAAAAAAGGTGAGTTGTGCGTTGAGGTACTTATATGTGGAGTCAAAGAACGTTACCTATGGAGGCAAAGAAGGGACTGTATGAAAGTATAGTAGTACCAACACTCTTATATGGGTGTGAAACTTGGGTGGTAAATGCAATAGCAAGGAGACAGTTGGAGGCAGTGGAGATATCCTGTCTAATGGCAATGTGTGGTGTAAATATTATGCAGAAAATTCAGAATGTGGACATTAGAAGGTGTGGAGGTAATAAAAGTATTAGTCAGAGGGCTGAAGAGGGGTTGTTGAGGTGGTTTGGTCATTTAGAGAGAATGGATCAAAGTAGAATGACATGGAAAGCATATAAAAATATAGGGGAAGGAAGGCGGGGTAGGGGTCGTCCTCGAAAGGGTTGGAGAGGGGGGTAAAGGAGGTTATGTGGGCGAGGGGCTTGGACTTCCAGCAAGCGTGCGTGAGCGTGGTAGATAGGAGTGAATGGAGACGAATGGTACTTGGGACCTGACGATCTGTTGGAGTGTGAGCAGGGTAATATTTAGTGAAAGGATCCAGGGAAACCTGTTATTTTTATATAGACTTGAGTCCTAGAAATGAGAAGTACAATGCCTGCACTTTAAAGGAGGGGTTTGGGATATTGGCAGTTTGGAGGGATATGTTGTGTATCTTTATACGTATATGCTTCTAAATTGTTGTGTTATGAGCAAATCTGCAAAAACAGTGATTATGTGTGAGTGTGGTGAAAGTGTTGAATGATGATGAAAGTATTTTCTTTTTGGGGATTTTTTCTTTTTGGGCCACCCTGCCTTGGTGGGAGACGGCCGACTTGTTGAAAAAAGAAAGAAAGAAAAAAAAAAAAGGTACCCAATTATACTGCTATATTAATCATGTTTAGTCGTTATTCTTTTTTTTTTTCTTACAGGTATGGTCGCGTCAAACCAGACATTGTTACATATGGCTCTTTAGTGCAGGGTTCAAGCATGGAAGGAAAGTGCCGGCAGTTGTCTGGCACTTCAGTAGCATCTCCAGTGGTGGCTGGAGCTGTTACCCTTCTTGCTAGGTGGGATAATTTTTAGAACATTGTTTTACACAGCCATATGCACTCATAATACAGTGTATGAATATGAAAAGTGAGTTTATTCTTGCATGAGGCATTATTTTTAAGTTTATGAAATTTTTTGAATGAGATGTTTATGAAAGCACTGTGAGGTATGCATACAACATCTGTCTAACTGTTGTTATAATATTATTCAGGAGATGGGACAGGTTTCTCCTGACACTGGTCTTAATCATATAGATGACATGTTAAAGTAATTATGTCTGATGACTCTTAAAGTATATGCCTTTTTATCATCCTCTGTATGAAGTTACTGTGAGGCAATTACCTCTTTGCATATACAGGAGCAGAGCTATGGTGGAAAATGAGAAAGAGTTTGAGGTAATGTCCCTCAGCCTGGAGATGTGTTCAGTACATCAGTCTTGATAAAAATACATAACCTACTTCCAATAGTGGATTTTTCCACAGTGACGTTGCCTACAATTGCTTTGCCTCCCCTGTCTACAGTATAAAAGCCCCATCTCTGTGTATATGCTGTACTTTTATCAAGATTGATGGACTGAACACATTATCTCCAGGATGAGTGACTGCTTATCTCAAACTCTTTGTTTTCCACCGTTCTTCCCTGTATTGGACTGATGAAGCCACTGGCTGGTAGAACGTTTCCACAGTAAAGATACCCAAATGTTTCACAAGTGTCTCATTCTTCAACTTGTCTGTATTCTAAACCATTTATATATCTGTCAGACAGTAATATCTTGGGATCAGGGAATTCTTCAAAGCTTGCCTAACCTATAGACATGACCTACTTCCACTAGTGGATTTTTCCACTATTCTGTGCTTCACTTTATCTTTCATAGACCTATCTGCTGACATGGCCACTCCTCATTATCTAAATACATCCACTTCTTCCATAACTCCCTCCCTTCAATCTGATAATCAGTATCATTGCTAAGGCTTTTTGTTAATCTCATCACCTTGCTCTTTTTCTATTTTCACTTTAAATTTCTTGTTACATACCTTCCCACACTCATTCACCAACCTTTGTAATTTTCCTTTAGGATCCTGTAAAAACTATCATCAGCAAACTTTTTTTTTTTTCAACAAACCGGTTGTATTCCACCAAGGCGGAGTGACCCAAAAAGAAAAACGAAAGTTTCTCTATTTAAATTTAGTAATTTATACAAGAGAAGGGGTTACTAACCCCTTGTTCCTGGCATTTTAGTCACCTCTAATGACAAGCATTGATCAGCAGACTTCTTTCAACATTAAATTCTGTCATTTTATCACTCCACTTGTTTACTCTAGCTAAGTTTTGTGGGAGGTCTTTACACATATTATTATCTTAGATTTTATCTAACTCAAAAATATACTGTGTATAGTACTGCATTAACCCTTTGACTGTCGCAAGCCCCTTTCTGAAACTGTCATTCTATGTAGCAAAATTTTTGGAAAAAAAATTATTATTTTTTCTTATGAAATGATAGAGAATCTTTTCCCGATGGTAATGACACCAAAAGTACGAATTTTGGTTGAAAACTCACGGAATTACGCTCCCGTGAAATTAGCAGTCTCGGCGACGTATATGCATCGGTGATTTAGTCGACTTTGAGCCCTGTTTTTGGCCAATTCCGTTGTTCCAGTTGACTAATCTCATAGCTATTTCTTTAGAACTCCATTTTTTCTATCAGTTGAGTACAAGAAACTGCCCATTTACCGATTTGAACTACCCAATAAAGTGGTCAGAAATTGGCAATTTGGCCAATTTCACGCAAATTAAAAAAGATGCCAATTTCAAAATAGGGTCCAGAATAAACAATGTAGACATTCTTGGCACTAAAATAACATATCCTCTGTTCATTAGTCACATCTCTAGGCCCCTCTTATATTACTATTGCTTTCTAATTTGATTTTTTATTTATACAAAAAATACAAAATTTACTGTTATGCAGACTACTGCATTATTGTAAAAATGGTATAAATAATATCATTGCACTAGTGAAAGAATATTAGACTCTCCAGTTGACTTGTATTGGATGTGTGGTGTGATTTGCTTACTCCTGAACATTGGTAAAAATCAAACATTTCCGCTACTTTGAGCTCAATTTCAAGGTCGTTTTCATCGTGAAACTAATCAAAATCATCTCTATTTCTGTAATATGTTTTCCATTTTATCACGTGAGACCATGAAAACGAGAATACAATGATAAATACTATACGAAAATACACCTCAAAGTCGGCGTTTTAATCCAAAAAAACGGTCAGAGTTTTTTTTTCTCATTATGCACTGCGTGCTGCAGGATTTTTTTTATGTGGTGCACACTGACCACACAGACCCATTCTGTCACATGTGGGCCTACCAGCTCTCTCCTGCTTGATTTGAAGCCGCTAGAATTTGTGTGTTAATACGTCCAAAACACTGGCTCATAAGACGTATATATACGACCAAAACAGTCAAAGGGTTAAATTAATATTCAAATATTCAGATTTTGATGTTACTGTAAATAACAAATATATCTGAAGAATGGTTTTTGGGACCTGACGAGCTGTTGGAGTGTGAGTAGGGTAATATTTTATGAAGGGATTCAGGGAAACTGGTTAGCCAGACTTGAATCCTGAAAATGGGAAGTACAATGCCTGCACTTTACAGGAGGGATTTGGGATGTTGGCAGTTTGGAGGGACATCTAAACTTTCGTATCTGGGCGCCTCTGCAAAGACAGTAATTATGTATGAGTGACGGTGAAAGTGTTGAATGATGGTGAAAGTTTTTTCTTCCTTTTTGGGTTTTTCTTTTTAGGCTACCCTGCCTTGGTAGGAAACGGCTGACGTGTTAAAAAAATCTGAAGAAATTAAATTAATTGGAACAACATGTTGGTTATATGTCTTTAGCAAGGGTTTCAAATGTTATCTGAAGTCTAGGAATGATTTTTCACAGTATTATTTCCTCAAGGAAGGTAGTTAACAAAAAAGGACAAAGGTATTAAACAATATTACAGTGGAATTTCTAAATTTTTTGAATGCAATGAATTCTGTCTTTCATGGACAGTAAACTAGCTGTGATTTGCTGTCCGTGTTTCCATGAATAGAAAGGCATGACATGATAAATTAATGAAATTTCAGTGGTGTCTTGCATCGAGGAGGCATCATTAATCCAGCCAGCATGAAGCAAGCATTGATGGCCTCAGCTCGTAGGTTGCCAGGTGTCAACATGTTTGAGCAAGGACATGGCAAGCTAGATTTAGTAAAAGCATATCAAGTCCTATCGAAATACAAACCACAAGCATCTTTGAGTCCCAGCTATATAGATCTTACTGAGTGTCAGTATATGTGGCCATACTGCACACAACCATTATACTATGGTGCTATGCCAGTCATTGTGAATGTCACAATTCTGAACGGCATGGGAGTTTCTGGACGAATTGTTGAAAAGCCAGTATGGCATCCGTATACACCTCAATATGGCCATCATCTTGACATTGCTTTTACCTACTCTGAGGTGAGTATACTTTGAAAAATTTACCTTACTAGATACAATAGTCACAATTTTCTCTACTTTTTTATATTTTTCTGCCACTTTGTAAACAATATCTTGAGTAACCATCTTTGCACTGATTTGAACTTTAATGAATAAGTGTAACATCACCAGACTCACTACACATATTCATTAATATCAGATGAAGAACTGAATAGTCTCAGTTAAAAGTGTACGCCTAGAAGCTTGTTGCCAATTTTATAAGATTTTAGGCTTTTTCATTTTTTTTTTTTTGCCACTTTTACAATGGTTGAAGATAATCTTTTCAAGTTTATAAAATTGGTACTTTAATTATGCATTGTATAAATTTTCATCTTTGCAAAACTCAACAGCGATTTTTATAATTAATTAATTTGTATTCATATACAGTATGTGGAAGAGGGTGTTGGTTTTGATGCAGTGGATTTTATATAAACTGTCTCTAATTCTTCCCATTGCACTCATCTTGATGCAGTGAAAATTTTCATTAAGACCATTTACACTGATGTGGCCATTTGCCTTGCTGCCCCTATACTCATAGAACACAGGCATATCCGCATTAATGAACCAACAGACCAGTACACTGTACTGGTATAGAGACCGAGGATAATCTCTTGATTGACCTAATGTTATTTAATCATATCTAATTATTAATTTGTTATTCTTCACTACAGTACCAAATGCTCCATGCGAAGTATATTGCATAAGAAAGAAAAACAGTTCTCCACAACACCGTCACTGTTCTATTAGTGTTGGTAAAATATTTATGCAGTAAAAATTTTCATTATAGAACAGATAATATTAATAAAGAGTATGAAATGCGTCTGCAAAACTTTAATTGAACTAACAGATAGCTTTACATTGCAGGTATTATGGCCATGGTCAGGTCATCTTGCAGTATGGATTACTGTTGCAGAAAGTGGCAAGGAATGGGAAGGGTTTGCTCGTGGCCACATTTCTGTTACCATTGAGTCTCCTCCAGAAGAGGGGGAGACACAGCCAAGAACCTCTCATGTCAAGCTTCCTGTTAAGGCTAAAATGATACCAACACCACCACGACACAAGCGTGTGCTCTGGGATCAATTTCACAATCTACGTTATCCACCAGGTTATTTTCCAAGAGACAATTTACGAATGACTAATGATCCCCTCGACTGGAATGCTGATCATATTCATACTAATTTTAAGGATATGTACCAGCACTTGCGTAATAGTGGTTATTACATCGAAGTTTTGGGTTCTCCATTTACCTGTTTTGATGCCAGCAAGTATGGGACATTAATGATTGTTGATCCAGAAGAAGAATATTTTCCAGAGGAAGTGACAAAATTGCGGCTTGATGTGGAGAAAGGATTATCTGTTATAGTTTTTGCAGATTGGTACAATGTGAATGTTATGAAGAAAGTAAAGTTTTATGATGAAAACACTAAGTAAGTATTGTTGCTAAATGTATTCCTAATTTATATTTCTATGATTTGTGAATTCACAATTTAGTGTAGGTGGTAATGCTTAGTAATTGTTGCTTTATATAATTTATTTCAATATGTATATATTTAACCCTTTCAGGGTTTCCGACGGACTAGTACGGCTTACGCACCAGGGTTACTGACGTACTAGTACGCCTAAATTCTAGTGCCTTCAAATCTAGTGAGAGAAAGCTGGTAGGCCTGCATATGAAAGAATGGGTCTATGTGGTCAGTGTGCACAGTATAAAAAAAATCCTGCAGCACACAGTGCATGAGAAAAAAACAAACTCCGACTGTGTTTTTGGTTTAAAACAGTGACTTTGCAGTGTATTTTCATATGGTATTTATGGTTGTATTTCAGTTTTCCTGGTCTCATTTTATAGAATGGAAAACATCTTTCTTTCTTTCTTTCAACACACCGGCCGTATCCCACCGAGGCGGGGTGGCCCAAAAGAAAAAAACAAAGTTTCTCCTTTCAAATTTAGTAATATATACAGGAGAAGGGGTTACTAGCCCCTTGCTCCTGGCATTTTAGTCGCCTCTTACAACACGCATGGCCTACGGAGGAAGAATTCTGTTCCACTTCCCCATGGAGATAAGAGGAAATAAACAAGAACAAGAACTAGAAAGAAAATAGAAGAAAACCCAGAGGGGTATGTATATATACGGTTGTACATGTATGTGTAGTGTGACCTGAGTGTAAGTAGAAGTAGCAAGACGTACCTGAAATTTTGCATGTTCATGAGACAGAAAAAAGGACACCAGCAATCCTACCATCATGTAAAACAATTACAGGCTTTCGTTTTTCACTCACTTGGCAGGACGGTAGTACCTCCCTGGGCGGTTGCTGTCTACCAACCTACTACCTAGGAATGGAAGACATATTACAGAAATTGAGATGATTTTGATTGGTTTCATAATGAAAAGTACCTTGAAATTGAGCTAAAAGTAGCAGAAATGTTCACTTTTTACCAAAGTTCAAAAGTAAACAAATCATGGCAAGCGTCCAATACACGTCAACTGGTGAGTCTAATATTCTTTCACAAGTGCGCTGATATTATTTATGCCATTTCTACACCATTTCTACACTAATGCAATAGTCTGCATAACAGTAAATCTTCTATTTTTTGTGAGAATAAAAATTCAAAGTGGAAAACAAAAGAGATGTAAGAGGGGCCTGGGGATGTGACTAATGAACAAAGAAAATGTTATTTTAGTGCCAGGAATGTCTGTCTTGTTTATTCTGGACCCTATTTGGAAATTGGCATCTTTTGAAATTTGTGTGAAATTGGCAAAATTGCTAATTTCTGACCAATTTATTGGATAGTTGAAGTTGGTAAATGGGTGGTTTCTTGTACTCATTTGATAGAAAAAACGGAGTTCTAGCGAAATAGATACGATTTTTGTCGCCTAGTACACTGGAATTGGCCGAAAATAGGGCTCAAAGTGGGCGAAATCGCCAATGCGTAAACATCGTTGAGACCGCTAACTTTATGAGAGCATAATTCTGTAAGTTTTCCATCAAATTTCATACTTTTGGTGTCATTATGATTGGGAAAAGATTCTCTATCATTTCATTAGAAAAAAATAATTTTTTTTTTTCAGAAAAATTTCTGACCCTGAGAACGAGTTTAGGAGAGGGCCTCTCAACCCTGAAAGGGTTAAAAGAAGTTGGAAATATTCATATGCTATTTTGCTTCTGCAGCTATTTTGTGATGTTCCATGAATTTATTTGAGAAACAACCTTTGCTCAGTGGTGTGTGCGATTTTGCAGGCAATTGTGGATGCCAGTGACAGGTGGAAGCAACATACCTGCTCTCAACTATCTTCTGGCCTCCTGGGGTGTGGCTTTAAGTGATGGAGTGTTTGAAGGTGATTTTACTTTAGGTGATCGCGACATGTACTATGCTACTGGTACTTCACTAGCACAGTTTCCTCGAGAAGGCACAGTCGTTCGTAAGGCTCTCAATGATCATGCCAAGGAGATGCTGGAAGCAGAAAGTGAGAGTGTTCCAGGTAAGTAAAGAACGATTTATCAAAGAATTGGTAAAAACTGCATGAAAGATACTGTTTTGATAGTGAGGTAAAGATAGAGGCTAGGATTTCATCTTATAAGAACATAAGAAAGGAGGAACACTGCAGTAGGCCTGTTGGCCCATACTGGGCAGGTTATTCACAAATCCAACCCACTAACAGAATATTTGCCCAACCCACTTTAGTTCTGCCCTAACAATAAGCTCTGATAAATCCACTAAATCATGTGGAAGTCCCACTCAGATCCAACTCCTCTCACTTATATTTATCCAACCTAAATTTGAAACTACCCAAGGTTTTAGCTTCAATAACCCTACCAGGAATAGGTAGTAGGTTGGTAGACAGCAACCGCCCAGGGAGGTACTACCGTCCTGCCAAGTGAATGTAAAACGAAAGCCTGTAATTGTTTTATATGATGGTAGGGTTGCTGGTGTCCTTTTTTCTGTCTCATGAAAATGCAAGATTTCAGGTATGTCTTGCTACTCCTACTTACACTTAGGTCACACTACACATACATGTACAAGCATATATATACACACCCCTCTGGGTTTTCTTCTATTTTCTTTCTAGTTCTTATTCTTGTTTATTTCCTCTTATCTCCATGGGGAAGTGGAACAGAAGTCTTCCTCCGTAAGCCATACGTGTTGTAAGAGGCGACTAAAATGCCGAGAGCAAGGGGCTAATAACCTCTTCTCCTGTATATATTACTAAATGTAAAAGGAGAAACTTTTGTTTTTCCTTTTGGGCCACCCCGCCTCGGTGGGATACGGCTGGTGTGTTGAAAGAAAGAAGAACCCTACTAGGAAGACTGTTATACTCATCAACTACCCTTTTTCCAAACCAGTACTTTCCTATATCCTTTCTAAATCTAAAGTTATCATATTCACGTAAAAACCTAAATTTACAAATAGGTAATAAAGTAAATGTCCATAATTCTTGCAGATTATGTTCCTGAAAGGAATATAACCTGCACTGCCAATGACTTTCATGACTACCTAGCTTTCCTTCATGAATATTACCCTGCTTATGTCACCACAGCATATCAAATGCCATAGACCAAGTGCCTCTACTTTGTTCTGATTTGCATTTGTCTGCTGAATGTTCAAGTTCCTGTCTTTCAGCACCTCTTTCTTATCCTCCTTTCAACTCTTTCTTGGATGTTTCAAACAAGGTATATAATTCAGCACTGACAAGTGCCTGTGACTTTCTCCTTTATCCTGTACCACATAGAGGTAACTAAAGTCAGTTTTAAAAAGTTACTGGGCAAAGTTTTTAAACTCAATGAAAGGAATGGTAGCAAACATTATTTGAACATCTACTTTATGCTACCACTTTCATTTGGGAAGAAATTACAGAATCAAATTAATGAAAAGGAGTTAAGCCAGTGACTATTTTTTTTTTAACACTGGCCATCTAACATTGAGGTAGGGTGACCCAAAAATAAAACTCTTTCAGCATGATTCACTTCATCACTGTCTTCCCAGAGGAGCACTAATACCACAGTTCAGATGCCATAGAACTATGTGAGGGACCCTGGCATTAATGATGTACAACTACTTGGCAGCCACTCAGATGAGGCATATTCAAGTTTTCAGCAATAAATTACACCATTTTATAAGTAAAATTGGCACTTTTGCTCCTACATACTCCAATAATAATTCCAGCCTTCTATGTAAGATACAGAAGGATTGAATGTTTAAAGCCAATCAGAAAAGTCTTCTCCAGTTGCTGCATGGAAACCAAAATTGGTAATTATTTTTTTATTAATACATCAGCCATTTCCCACCGAGGCATGGTGACTAGAAAAAGAAGAAGCACTTTATCATTCATTCCATTATTGTCTTACCAGAGTTGTGCCTATACTACAATTAAAAAACTGCAACATATCAACAACCCTTCATCAGAGTGCAGGCACTGTACTTCCCACCTCCAGGACTCAAGTCCGGCTAACCAGTTTCCTTGAATCCCTTCATAAATATTACTTTGCTCACACTCCAACAGCATGTCAGGTCACAAAAATCATTTGTCTCCAATTACTCCTATGTATCTAACACACTCATGCATGATTGCTGGAAGTTCAGGCCCCTTGTACACAAAACCTCCTTTACCCCTCCAACCTTTCCTAGGATGACCCCTACCCCACCTTCCTTCCACTACAGATTTGTATGCCTTCCAAGTCATTCTGTTTTTGTTCCATCATCTCTAAATGTCCAAACCACCTCAACACCCCTTGCTCTGCCCTCTGGATAATACTTTTGGAAATCCTGCACCTCCTAATCTCCGAGCTACAGAGTCTCTGCATTATATTCACACTGCACATTGCCCTTAGACACAACATCTCCTCTACCTTCAACCTTCTTGTTACAACATACATCACCCATGCTTCACACCCATATAAGAGTGTTGGTACGACTATATTCTCATACATTCCTCTCTTTGCTTCCATGGATAACATTCTTTGTCTCCACAGACTTCTCAGTGCTCCACTCACCTTTTTTCCCCCTCGTCAATTCTATGATTCACCGCGTCTTTCATAGACCCATCTGATGATAAGTCCACTCCCAAATATCTGAATACATTCACTTCCTCCATACTCCCTCCCTCTAATCTGATATCCAATCTTTCATTACCTAAATTTTTTGCTATCCTCCTCATCTTGCTTTTTCTACGTTCGCTTTTAATTTCCTTCTATGACATACCCTTCCAAACTCATTCACCAACCTCTGCAACTTCTCTTCAGAATCTCCCAAAACCACAGTGTCATCAGCAAAAATCAACTGTGACAACTCCTACTCTGTGGTAGATTATTTCTCTCTTAATCTCTCACTTTTTGCCAACACTCTGGCATTCACTTCTCTTACAACCCCATCAACAATCATGGTGACATCACACATTCCTGTCTAAGGCCTACTTTTACTGAGAAATAATCTTCCTTACTCCTACATACTCTAACCTGAGCATCACTATCCTTTTACAAACTTAACTGCTTTCAATAACCTACCACCTATTCCATACATTTGCAACATCTGCCCGTTGCTCTCCTATCCACCCTATCATATGCCTTTTCCAAATCCACAAATGCAATGAAAACCTCTTTACCCTTACCTAAATGTTGTTTACATATATGCTTCATTGTAAACACTTGATCTACACACCCCCACCCTATTCTAAAGACTCCTTGTTCATCTGTGATCCTGCTTTCCATCTTAATATTGATTCTTTCAATAATAACTCTACCATGCATTTTACCAGGTATATTCAACAAGCTTATTTCCCTATACTCTCTCTTGTATACCCTTTTGCCTATGCATGTTCTCTGCTATTCCTTAGATACCTTCCCCTCTTCCATACATTTATTAAATAAAAGCACCAACCATTCCAAAACTATAGCCCTACCTGCTCTTAATATTTCTGTCTTTATCCCATCAATCCCAGCTGCTTTATGCCCTTTCATTCTGTCCACTGCCTAATGCACATTCCCTACACTCACAACTGGCTCTTCCTTATTCCTACAAGATGTTATACCTCCCTGCCAAATGCATGAAATCACAGCTTACCTATCTTCATCAACATTTAGCAGTTCCTCAAAATATTCCCTCCAACTTCATGATACTTCCAGTTCTCCATCTAATAAATCTCCTCTTCTATTTTTAACTGTCAAATCCGTTCATTTCTCTAGGCTTTCTTATTAATCTCACTCCAAAACTTTTTCTTATTCCCAGAAATTTTTTTTTGATAGTATCTCACCCACTCTCTCATATGCTTTCCTTTTACATTCCTTCACCACTCTCATAACCTCTCTACTCTCCATATACTCCTCCCTCCTTACATCACTTCTACTTTGTTAAACTTCTCATATGCTAACTTTTTCTCTTATCTCATCATTCCACCAGTTGTTTTCTTCTTTCCTGCACCCCTTTAGGGATACCCAACAAGAAAGGATACCCTGAAAGAAAAGTTGGGTGTGGAAAAGCTATTAAGTACATTTTAAATGAAATCCTGTGGTGTTTTTAGATGAGGCCCAAGATTATGTGCACCTACCATCCGACTTACGACCTGCTAGACATACGATCACTCGACTTACGACCAGGTTTTTTTATGCCAAATTTCTGGGAAATAAACAGCTGTTTGTGTTGTACACAGTGTTTATACCTTACAGTATAAAATAGAGCACTAACAGCATAAAAAGTAAAGGAAAAAATGAAATACCAAAATAAAACAATAAAATAAATTCATTACAAAAGTGTGATGTTGATATTCAGTTCCGACTGGTTGGTCGGAACTGAATATCAACCAAGCTTGGTCGCAAGTCAGATGGTACCTGTACTAAAAAGGGGACTACAATATACAGTGGACCCCCGCATAACGATCACCTCCGAATGCGACCAATTATGTAAGTGTATTTATGTAAGTGCGTTTGTACGTGTATGTTTGGGGGTCTGAAATGGACTAATCTACTTCACAATATTCCTTATGGGAACAAATTCGGTCAGTACTGGCACCTGAACATACTTCTGGAGTGAAAAAATATCGTTAACCGGGGGTCCACTGTGTACTTATAAATAACTGAGGCTATTTGGGAGATGCCCTCCAATAAAAAACACTGGATAAGCAGTGAGTGCAAATTATTAAACTCAGATTTTGGGGTTCAGCTCTATTCATTTGCTACATTGTCCTGTATTTATTTATTTTTCTTTTTCAAAACGCTGGCTGTCTCCCACTGAGGCAGGGTGACCCAGAAAAGAAACACTTTCACCATCATTTACACATAATCACCGCCTTTGCAGAGGCGTGCAGATACGACAGTTCAGATGTCATTCCAAACAACAAATATCCCAAACCCCTCCTTTAAAGTATAGGCATTGTACTTCACACCTCCAGGACACATGTCCGGCTAACCAGATCTCCATGGGGAAGTGGAATAAGAATCTTTACTCTGTAAGCCATGCATGTTGTAAAAGTCAACTAAAATGCTGGGATCAATGGGCTAGTAACTCCTTCTCCTGTATAGCTTGCTAAAAAATAAAAATAAAACCTTTAAGTATTTAATATGTTAATCAAATAATCTTAATTTCAGATGTTCCAATCTTAGGTCTACTTCAGACCAAGAGCAACACTAATGAAGATGTGGGTAATAATCAGCACCGTTGTGGCCGCTTAGTGGTATATGGCGACTCTAATTGCTTAGACAACAGCCATCTTCAGAAGGATTGTTTCTGGATGCTTGATGCTCTTCTTGAGTTTACCACCACAGGGCACTTGGCAGGAGTATTCACCTCAAGTGCTGGGATGCCAGTTCCTCCAACAACGGACTTACCCACCAAGATGGAAAACAGCAACTTACATAAGCATTCAAAGGTATATTCTGTGTCTTTTATGAGGAAATATGAGCAGCAGTATTTCTGTTAATTGAAGCAAAGTTGATATCCTATATCTTGATACATTTATAGAAGCGTGTCATTTTTTTTTTTGTTTTAATAATTTCCAGTAGTTGTAACACTTGCTACCACATGAATTTCATCATAGCAATCTATTACTTACTAAGTAATGTTTAGTAACTCAAAGTAAACATAATAAAAAAAACTTTCTGCACATTATTATTTGGAGAGAGAAATTCAAACTAGTTTCTTCATTTACTGCTGGCTAACTGGCTAACTGAACTAATAGGAAAACATCTAACATCAACAGGACAGTTCTAGAAATTGAATAATTTGGAATGATTGCTATTGCAGATACATTTTTTCTGCATATTTGCAATTGAATAATCATGGTTTTCAAGAAGAGTGCATGCTTCTCAATACAGTATTTTCTTGTGATTATAAACACAAAGGAGTACAGTGGAGCCCCGGTTAACGATATTTTTTCACTCCATAAGTATGTTCAGGTGCCAGTACTGTCCGAATTTATTCCCATAAGGAATATTGTGAAGTAGATTAGTCCATTTCAGACCCCCAAACATACACGTACAAACGCACTTACATAAATACACTTACATAATTGGTCGCATTCGGAGGTAATCGTTATGCGGGGGTGCACTGTATTATAACCTTCTTTTTAATGTTTTTACTTTAGCACAGGCATATTTTAAGACTTTTTTTTTTGTGGGTTGGTATTTCTGGTAGAGAGTAGCCACTTTAAAATGATAGTTCATAGATTCAGAATGATTAATATTTAACCTCCTGACTGTCGAAACCCCAAATCCTCAGGTGTCTCCTGGTGTCGAAAAATTTTTGAAAAAAAAAATAAAAATGTTTTTCTTATGAAATTATAGAGAATCTTTTCCCGATGGTAATGGCACTAAAAGAACGAAATTTGATGGAAAATTTACCGAATTACACTCTCGCGAAGTTAGCGACCTTGGCGATATTTTTGAATCTGCAATTTCACCCACTTTGAGCCCTATTTTCAGCTAATTCCATTGTTCCAGGCAACCAAACTCATAGCTATTTCTTTAGAACTCCATTTGTTCTTTCAATTGAGTACAAGAAACTGCCCATTTACCGATTTTAACTACCCAGTAACGTAGTCAGAAATTTGCAATTTGGCCAATTTCACGCAAATTAACCCGTAAACGGTCCAAATGTATATATACGTTTTTTCAACATTTGAAAGTATGTAAAAAAAGTAGATCTTCTTTTTTTATTTTTACATTTGAAAATGTGTAAAAAAACTTCGATCTACTTTTTTTTTTTTTGTTATATTTGAAAATATGTAAAAAAAGTAGATCTGCTTTTGGAGCACTACACATATGAACATGGATCTGCTTGGACCGTTTAAGGGTTAAAAAATATGCCAATTTCAAAATAGGATTCAGAATGAACAATGCACACATTCCTGGCTCTAAAATAACATTTTCTTTGTTCATCAGTCACGTCTCCAGGCCCCTCTGATATTACTCTTGCTTTCTATTTTGAATTTTTATTCAAACAAAAAATAGAGGATTTACTGTTATGCAGACTATTGCAATATTGTAATAATTGTATAAATAATATCAACCCATTCATGACTGCATATTAGAATGGCTAGTTGGACATTTATTGAACAATGACATCATTTGTTTACTTTTGAACATCGGCAAAAATCAAACATTTCCCCTACTTTGAGTTCCATTTCAAGGTTCTTTTTATAGTAAAACCAATCAAAATCACCTCTATTTCTATAATATGTTTTCCATTTTATCAAATGAGACTAAGAAAATGAGAATACAACCATAAATACTATATGAAAATGCGTACACCACAAAGTTGGCGTTTAAATCCAAAAAAACTGGTCGGAGTTTTTTTTTCTCATTTTGCACTGCGTGCTGCAAGATTTTTTTTATATGGTGCACACTGACCACACAGACCCATTCTCTCACATATGGGCCTACCAGCTTTCTCCTGCTTGATTTGAAGCCACTAGAATTTTTGAGTATATGTCAAACATGGTGGCTCGTAAGACATATATATACGACCGAAACAGTCAAAGGGTTAAACAATAATGATATGAATCATCTTATTTGGGTAGATATTTAAAGCAGTCCATTATGTAAGCAAAATTTTAGACAGTATATTCCTTACCGTTTCTTTAGGTTGTGTTTGGCATATTGGGTGCTGGGAAGTGCAACTGCTCTGTGTTTCTGTCAGCTGTACATCACACCTATGAAAAAATCCATTCTTGATTGTAGACTGGAAAATCAACTGTCTGTCACAAATATTTATCCAGCATGCTTACCTGTTACCTAATACTGAACCCCAAACCTACAGGTTATTGAGCATACATTAGGGATGGAACAAATGCGACCACTACCTGAGTGTCCATCTTTACTGCCTGTCACACCACAGCCCCTCAATGTCTCAAACAAAAAGTAGGTGACTGTATTATCAAATTGTTTGAACTTTTGATATGAAAAAAAGCAAAAGCATAATTAGGACAGTTGATCTTAACTCTCACTCACTCACTATTACGTAGTACGTTTTTATTATCCAGTCACTTACTCTCATTTATTTATGTTTTTCGTCTTCAAGTAATCTAAAATCCTTGAAGCGCAAAAAGCTTTCTCTTTAGAGGACTACATATCTTAAAAATACACCAAGTGACAACTAAATCGTTTAAGGGAAAAACTACTAAAATATTTAGTTTTATATAAAAATTGAGAATGAATGAATACCTAAGTATTTATAAATCTTTTGTTTGCACAAAATAGATCATTACATAATATTAAAAAAATAGAGCACTAAAGCTTAGCATTGCTTGCTTTCTTCAGTCTCAACATCCATGTGGGGCTTAAGTTACTATCTCAGCCAGAGATTGTGGCTGCAGTAAAAGTAGCACCAGTTGATGTTCAGCCATTGCCATTGGATGGACATGGTTTTAGCCAAGGAGATGCTGCTGCTGGCTCTTCCAATGCAGGTACTAGTGCTAAAAATTGCCCACCTAGGTTATGTATAGTAATGTATGTTTAAAACCATAGATTATTTATTTTTATTTGAATAATGAAGTTTTGCCAAGAAGATGGTTACCATACCAAACATTTTTGTTTAGTTGGTGAACCACTACTTATTGGTGGAGATGGGTTTATCATATCTGTCTGTCAGTTACTGCACGTGGAAGGTAGTTACAAAGGATGGAGGCCACTTTAGAATATAATTTTTTCTATAAAACTTTTAACATTCTTTCCAGGCAGATATCTCTCTATCCCATTAACCATGAGTGCTATCACTCTTGAATTTCCATCACCACCTGATAAAATTTATGATCGTAGATAACCGGTTCATGGGACCGACAGGTTGTTGAATTAAAACACTTATGCAACACTTGATTATGTGTGAGTGAGGTGAAAGTGTTGAATGATGATGAAAGTATTTTCTTTTTGGGGATTTTCTTTCTTTTTGGGTCACCCTGCCTTGGTGGGAGACGGCCGACTTGTTAAAAAAAAAAAAAAAATGCAACACTTGGGTATCTTTATTTTGGAAACAAAAATTTCACTAACCAGTGGCTTGGCAAAACATTTCCACAATGAACATACCAAAGTGTTGTGCAAGTGTCTACTTCGTCAAAATATATGATTTTTTTTTTTTTTTTTTTTTTTTTTTCAACAAGTCGGCCGTCTCCCACCGAGGCAGGGTGACCCAAAAAAGAAAGAAAACAATTTTCTTCTTATTCTTTTTAGTAATCTTTACAGGAAAAGGGGTTACTAGCCCATTGTTCCCGGCATTTTAGTTGACTTTTACAACACGCATGGCTTACGGAGGAAAGATTCTTATTCCACTTCCCCATGGATATAAAAGGAAAAGTAATAAGACCAAGAACTATTAAGATAAAATCAAAGAAAACTCAGATGAGTGTGTATAAATAAATGTGTACATGTATGTGTAGTGTGACCTAAGTGTAAGTAGAAGTAGCAAGACATACCTGTAATCTTGCATATTTATGAGACAGACAAAAGACATCAGCAATCCTACCATCATGTAAAACAATCACAGGCTTTCGTTTTACACTCACTTGGCAGGACGGTAGTACCTCCCTGGATGGTTGCTGTCTACCAACCTACTACCTACAAAATATATGATTATTTACTAGAAAAAAATTTATGTATGTATATCAAGACTGGCCTTCAATAATTGAGCTTTTACTTATTGTTATCAAATAGTTTTCTAAATGTAAACCCTGATCATAGTTACTAGAAAAGATGATTTATAATGTATTATAACTAAAGTGTAATTTTTTTTTTTTTTTTTTTTTTTTTCAACAAGTCGGTCGTCTCCCACCGAGGCAGGGTGACCCAAAACAGAAAGAAAATCCCCAAAAAGAAAATACTTTCATCATCATTCAACACTTTCACCACACTCACACATTATCACTGCTTTTGCAGAGGTGCTCAGAATACAACAGTTTAGAAGCATATACATATAAAGATACACAACATATCCCTCCAAACTGCCAATATCCCAAACCACTCCTTTAAAGTGCAGGCATTGTACTTCCCATTTCCAGGACTCAAGTCCGACTATATGAAAATAACCGGTTTCCCTGAATCCCTTCACTAAATATTACCCTGCTCACACTCCAACAGATCGTCAGGTCCCAAGTATCATTCGTCTCCATTCACTCCTATCTAACACGCTCATGCACGCTTGCTGGAAGTCCAAGCCCCTCGCCCACAAAACCTCCTTTACCCCCTCTTTCCAACCCTTTCGAGGACGACCCCTACCCCTCTTTCCTTCCCCTATAGATTTATATGCTTTCCATGTCATTCTACTTTGATCCATTCTCTCTAAATGACCAAACCACCTCAACAACCCCTCTTCTGCCCTCTGACTAATGCTTTTATTAACTCCACACCTTCTCCTAATTTCCACACTCCGAATTTTCTGCATAATATTTACACCACACTTTGCCCTTAGACAGGACATCTCCACTGCCTCCAACCGTCTCCTCGCTGCTGCATTTACCACCCAAGCTTCACATCCATATAAGAGTGTTGGTACTACTATACTTTCATACATTCCCTTCTTTGCCTCCATAGATAACGTTTTTTGACTCCACATATACCTCAGCGCACCACTCACCTTTTTTCCCTCATCAATTCTATGATTAACCTCATCCTTCATAAATCCATCCGCCGACACGTCAACTCCCAAGTATCTGAAAACATTCACTTCTTCCATACTCCTCCTCCCCAATTTGATATCCAATTTTTCTTTATCTAAATCATTTGATACCCTCATCACCTTACTCTTTTCTATGTTCACTTTCAACTTTCTACCTTTACACACATTCTCAAACTCATCCACTAACCTTTGCAATTTTTCTTTAGAATCTCCCATAAGCACAGTATCATCAGCAAAAAGTAACTGTGTCAATTCCCATTTTGAATTTGATTCCCCATAATTTAATCCCACCCCTCTCCCGAACACCCTAGCATTTACTTCTTTTACAACCCCATCTATAAATATATTAAACAACCATGGTGACATTTTGTGCAGGCCAAAATTTCAGTACTGAATGACATGTTAAGTTGAAATATGTTTATTTCAGATTAGACTGTATCTTATAATATTTATAGCAAGCTATTACCAAACTGAAATTAGAATCTCTGTATAAATAATTACCATAAAATATACAAGGTATATTTGTTAATGTATAAAGGTACTGTAGTAACATTAGTTGATTTTAAGACTTGTCAAAACACAAATATTTATATTATGTCCTTGCACTTTTGGGAAGACTGTCATTGAATGGATGATAGTGAATGTATTTCCTTCTTTGAGTCATCCTACCTTGGTGGGAAATAGCTGATGTGGCAAAAAAAGAAAATTATCTCTTGCTTTAATAAAAAGTTTTGTAATTTTTATGCACTCTGCTATCACATCTGATGCCAAAATTATGTATTACACCTACTGGTTATATCAGAATAGTTGGAAGAACAAGATGGAGTGAATGACTGGAAGATTATATGGCATGGCTTGCCCTCCTTTCAGCAGACTCCACAACATGGGATATTTTTGCATGCAATATAAGTTCATTTGTTGTTCAGAGAATCCCTGTGCCTTGATAGGTAAGGCCAAGTAGCATTTACCCTTTATTTGGTAGTCTAACAATATGAGACACTCGGCAGCTGGCTCTGGCGCTGGCTCTGGTGAAAGTGAAACCAAATAGATTTCAATGTGTATTACTTCACCACCTGTCTGAGTTACCTGTAAAATGTATAATTTTTATGATCTATTCATGATGGGCTGATAATGTGTTTAGTGGACAATGAGAAAGTCCTCAATCCCATCACATGCTCTTTTGTACCATAATGTGGTGTAGTTTACAGTCAGTCAGTCACTATTCAACTAAATGACAGGTGTTATTAGTCCTTTATGTAAAGATCATGACACATGAAAATTGTACAAACAAATTGAAGATGTGGTTCAGTTTTGGACAGTGAAATCTAAGAGGTTTCACATTCTCAGTAGGGAAAAGGCCAGAGCCACAGTTCCTCACGAATTTCCTGGACATTATCTCCCATACTTTTTTCATTATTATTTTTCTAGGTTGTTACTTTATCAGATGCTCTTCTCTTTGCTATGTGTTTATTGATGTAAGGGTGGCAGGTTCCTGGTACAGTACATTTGGCCAAGAAATGTGAATTAAAAAATTATAATTGTATTCATGCAAGGGGCTAATAACCCCTTCTGCTGTGTACATTACTAAAGATAAAAAGAGAAACTTTTGTTTTTCTTTTTGGGCTACCCTGCTTCGGTGGAATACGGCCGGTGCATTGAAAGAAAGAAAGAAAAATTGTATTCATACTGAGATGGTTAGAATATTTTTTTTTTTTTTTCAACAAGTCGGCCGTCTCCCACCGAGGCAGGGTGACCCAAAAAGGAAAGAAAATCCCCAAAAAGAAAATACTTTCATAATCATTCAACACTTTCACCACACTCACACATTATCACTGTTTTTGCAGAGGTGCTCAGAATACAACAGTTTAGAAGAATATACATATAAAGATACACAACATATCCCTCCAAACTGCCATTTATAACTCCATTTTTCTCCATGTAACTGGTTGCTTACTTTTTAATGCATTTGTATTTTATGCTCCTATTTTCGGTATATGGAATAGGTGGTAAGTTACTAAATGCTGTAAAGAGTTTTTATGAGGATAGTGAGGCTCAGGTTAAGGTGTGTAGAAGATAGGGAGACTACTTCCCAGTAAAAGTAGGTCTTAGACAGGGATGTGTAATGTCACCATGGTTGTTTAATATATTTATAGATGGGGTTGTAAAAGAAGTAAATGCTAGGGTGTTCGGGAGAGGGGTGGGGTTAAATTATGGGGAATTAAATACAAAATGGGAAGTGATGCAGTTACTTTTTGATGATGATACTGCACTTATGGGAGATTCTAAAGAAAAATTGCAAAAGTTAGTAGACGAATTTGGGAGTGTGTGTAAAGGTAGAAAGTTGAAAGTGAACATAGTAAAGAGTAAGGTGATGAGGGTATCAAATGATTTAGATAAAGAAAAATTGGATATCAAATTGGGGAGGAAGAGTATGGAAGAAGTGAATGTTTTCAGATATTTGGGAGTTGACATGTCAGCGGATGGATTTATGAAGGATGAGGTTAATCACAGAATTGACGAAGGAAAAAAGGTGAGTGGTGCATTGACATATATGTGGAGGCAAAAAATGTTATCTATGGAGGCAAAGAAGGGAATGTATGAAAGTATAGTAGTACTAACACTCTTATATGGGTGTGAAGCTTGAGTTGTAAATGCTGCAACGAGGAGGCGGTTGGAGGCAGTGGAGATGTCCTGTCTAAGGGCAATGTGTGGTGTAAATATTATGCAGAAAATTTGGAGTGTGGAAATTAGGAGAAGGTGTGGAGTTAATAAAAGTATTACTCAGAGGGCTGAAGAGGG